TCCCCGCTCCACCAGCGCTGACTGGCGGATCGGACGGAGGAGGGGGCGGGTACAGCTGGCTCTGCCTCTGGATAGGCAGAGCCAGTTGTCACTGACGCAGCTGGGCAGACCCAGACATAATTGTCAGGATCCGCTTCAGCTGTGGTGTCTCAGTATACCGCGAGCTGCAGCTCGCGGTATACTGAGCTTAGGGTGAAAGGAGGACGCTAGTTTGTGTCCTCCCGTTACCCTAAGGAGAACTATGGGGAAAAGCCTTAGATAGCCTTAAATAGAAATAACAATATAAGTACAAAATAATAAGGTGATTAAAAAGTAAAAAATAACAAAACAATTATAAAAAAATAAGTAAATAAGATTTTTAAAAATCTGTAAATAAAAATGTAAAAGTGATAAAAATAATAAAATAAAATAAAGAACAATAAATTAAAACTAACCCTGGCATCTGGTTGCCATTCTCTATTGGAAAGAGGGGGGGTTGCATTGAGGAGCCTGACCTTGCAGCAGCAGAGAGGGTAAATCCATCCCTTGGTGATATAATTGGGGGGGGGGCAAAATTTTGTTCTACCTGGGGGGCCTGTAACTCTGGTTATGCCACTGCAATGTAGTGTATTGCTACACGCTACACTGAAAAAAAAAATCCTGTTTTTTAGCGCACACCACTGCAGTGTGAACAGACATCATTGGACACAAGACAAATTGGCCTGTCTATGGCTAGCAAAGAGGGTGTCACGCAGCCCAATACATCCGGAGTGAATGGGCCCATAATTGCCCGGTTGTTCGATTTGCACTGCCAAACACGCAGGTTGGACGCTTATAGAATCCTCTTTAACAAGCAAAGCAATGATCACCCCCGAGCCGTCACATCGCTGACAGTGCCCCGAGCTTTATACAGGGGCTGTGGCTTGACAGCGTCACGTGACGCGGGATAGAGCCCGCCCATAGATTTCTCTGATTGGGTGGGACGCCTTCTGTTTGTTGTGAGGGGACGGAGGCCACCATCTTGTTCTCGGACCTAGAAGCTGCGGCGGGGTTCTTATTACTGAACAAGACGTGTGGACGCATGGGTTGCATGGAAGCCTAGCAGCCTCGTACGTCAGCAGACTGCTAGCTCTTGGACCGGCGTCCGCAACGCTCCCCTTCCTCGGAGAGTGTCCGCTTTTCGTGGCTCTGGCGGGAGGATGAACGGAGGATAAATGGTGCCCAAACCGGACAGCGGCACCTTCCTTCTCCTCTTTCTGCTGGTGTTAACCCTGACCGAGCCGCTGCGGCCAGGTGAGTGTAGCTGTCGGGGAAGGGGGGCGCGGCCTGTCGGGGAGGCTACTAAAATGGCGTGCAGGATGGATGTGTGTATACGGCCAGGTCTCCTGTGTGTATGGAATGTCCGTGTATGGCATCCCCGGATTGTGTGCTAATCCCCTCCACAGGCAAAGGTCACCCGCTGTTCACCTACTGATAGAAGGGCTGGGTGACATGTCTGTATGGGCCTAATCCTGCAGAGGACATAGTTGCCGGTGTGCCCCCTTCTTCCTCTCTCTGTGGCCGTCTAAATTGCACAGCTCCAACATCCCACAGAAATCAGTGATCCCATTGCATTAGCTTCACCCTTATGTGTCATTGCACGTTATAGCGGGGGATGTAGTCATTAAAGGGCTAATCTGCTTTTGATGGGGGTAAAAACCCCAAAACAATCCCCTCAGTGTGATCTGTGTAACCACAAACTCTGCAGGAGATTTTTACCTTTTTCTGTAGAAAGAAGCAGTATGTTTCACCATGTCCTTTGCAGACTTATTCCTGAATGGTAGAGATTTATTGTAATCGCCCTGTGCACGATCGGCCCTCGATCGCATTGGAGTCCCCGCACTGTGCGAGATTGGTGTGCTGTTTTCTTAATGGCACCCCAACGCACCTAGCCATTGTAAGTGCTTTGCATCACATCATAACTTAGGGTTACGTACGGGTCATGAACTACTTTGCTGTGATTTCGATGTGGCAGGCAGCCCATTAAAATGAATGGGCTGCCTTACCACAAGACATGGCAATACGTGTGACATTGCGCTGCTACACATGTATGATGTCACATGGTACAGGTGTGAACCCAGGCTCCGTGTTCTAACGAGGAAAGCTGCAAGATCGGCACCCCTTTAGAAGTATTATTCCTATTTGAAGGGATGCCTGAAATGTGATTTGTATCTAAGTGCAGACGTCTGAGAGAACCATTCAGCCAATCACGCAAGCAGCAAATTACATTTCTGTGGGCATTCCATAGACTAATGGTGTACAGAACGCCTCTGGGTTGTCATGTTGCATTTCATTTTCTAAACGGTTTTAGAAACTGACAGCAGCTTCAGAAACGACCAGGTTACTTTTCATAATAATCTATAAAATGGTTTGTGTAGCAGTTTTAAGTGCTATATTAATGTCCTAAATGAAGGCGTTCTCCTTTATGTGGCTCCTATGCAAGACCATTTTTTGCCCCCCTTCCTTTTAATTCAACTACTGGCCAAATACATTTTTTTTTTTTTTGGTGTCAGTTCTCAGCTAGATAGAATATTATTACAAGTATTTATATTTAGTGCCAACCATTTACACTAGGTTTACATAGTCCCTGCCCTCAAGAAGCTTACAATCTCAGGTCCTTATCTCATATGCATACACGGCCAATTAACCTTTCAGCATGTCTTTGGAGTGTGGGAGGAAACTGATGCAAGCACAGTGAGAACATGCAAACTCCTTGCAGATAGTGACCTGTCCTGGATTTAAATCTGTGACCCACCCAATCCTTCAAAGCTGAAGTGCTAAGCACTATGCCACCGTGCTGCCCTGAATAGAAATGGTGTCCAAGTGAAAGTCATAAGGCTTGTCATCGATAATCTTTAGAATTGTGTCTAGCGATAGTGCGACTCTTGGCTAGTGACTGGGGAAACTGGGAGCTAAGGATCTTCAGGTTCCAATATCTCAGCAAGGAAGAAGACAGCGGCGGATATACTCATCCTGAGTACGGGGGTCCGTCACAGTGTAGATAGAGAAGGGGTCCACGGACAGAGCCTTGGGGGACCCCTACAGAAAGAGGAAGATGATGGGAGGAGTTAGAATTGTAGGTGACACTAAAGGAGCGCTTAGATAGGTAGGAGGAGAACCACAAGAGAGCAGAGTCTTGTAGCCCAAGTGACTGGCGTTTTTTGAGGAGGAGCAGGTGGTCAACAGTGTCAAAAGCAGCAGAAAGATCTAATAGCAAGAGTAGGGAATAGTGCCTTTGCTTTTAGCAGTGAGTAGGTCATTAGGGAGTTTTAGGAGGGCGGTTTCAGTGGAGTGTAGGGGGCGAAAGCCAGATTGTAAGGGGTCAAGAAGGTTGTGATCAGGGAGGTGGCGACTCAGGCGGCTGTAGATGAGGCGTTCTATGAGTAAGGAGATTGGTCTGAGATTATTGAGTTCGGTAGGGTCCATTGAGGGTTTTTTGGGTATTGGGGTGACCAGGGCATGCTTCAGAGTGGAGGGAAAGATTCCAGTAGAGAGTGAGAGATTGAAAATGTGAGTAAGAGAGTGTAGGATAGAGTAAGCGGGTGACCGAAGTAGCGGTGAGGGAACAGGGTCCAGGGGGCAAGTGGTGAGGTGGGTGTCGGAGAGAAGCTTAGTAACCTCCTCTGTGGTGACAGGGTCAAAAGGGGAGAGTAACAAGTGTGATGGAGGGTCTGGCACATGAATAGGGGAAGGTGGCTGCACAGTGGTGATCTGATCCCGGATTGTATCTATTATGTTTATGGCATATGGCGCTGCGTGCAACAGATTTATGTATGTGTCCTTAAGGTATCGCAGGATTGTCTCGGAAGAAATGAGTTGCAGAATTGTCTCAAAGTTGAGGCACAATACTTACACATGCAACACAGCTTATTCCAACATGGAAGAGGTCTAATTTACCTCCAATTTCCTTATCAATATGGTGGTGTTTATCAATTTGTTACATCATGTGTTGCAAATAAGAACTGCTTATATTTGTTAAACATTTCTTTTCTGAATCGCCTCCATGACAGCAGGACTACATCTACTATAAAAGAATCTCTACAGCTACCCTTAGACTATAAGGATTTGGCTGAAAAAAATAAATGTAACCGATTCCTCAATCCATGCTAAATAGCACAGATTGACAGATATCCCAGATAATTGGCTTCAGTCACTGTTCGACTAACAGTTTGTTTTCGGCTCCTTCGAGCTGGCAGGGCTACCTACTGTAAAAATTTCAGTCAGTTCCTGTGAATTGGCTGAAATTCTTTTATAGTATGTCCAGCTTTAGGGCCCTTTCATCGCAAAGGACCCTCCCATCCGCACTGAAACGCGTGGTACCGCGATGCCCTGCGTTCTAGTGCGGTGTGATCACAAAAAATAATTGCATTGCACTGTGGGCGGCAGTTGTGTCTGCAGTGCCATTGACCTGAGTGGCACCACCATGCCACATCCCAGAACGCACAAAGGTTTGTTTATGTGATCCAGTGCGTTCATCCCACGGGTCAGTGCGATAAACTCACTGGATGGTGTGAACGGGCCATAAAGTCCCACAGGGCCCATCTACAGCTGGTACCACCACCTCTAAATCGTTATCACGCCACTGCATTTTCCGAAACCCTGCCAAGGATAAACCACATAGAAATGGCTTTTCATTACTTTTTTTGTTTTGTCTGTGGAGGCTTGTGATGCACATCATATGTCAAATGGAAATACGGTAACAAAGAATGCCATGGCTGTTGAGAATGACTTCCTGTATACTTATATAAGGCAGCAGTATGCCATCTGTGTCCAGCATGTACAGACATTTCAGTTTTACAGGGTAACGACAAATGCTTCTACTTGTTTAACGTTAACGCTACTTAGCTTTCCACCATATGTGATCATATGGAGCTAAGAACCACCCATGCACAGACAACTGGAAATATGTTTTAAACCGTTTACAACAAAAAAAATCTGTTGATATGTCTGACAAGTTCAGCAGATAATTTGGCATGTTAAAGCAAGTCTAAAGTCTGTTTTAAAGCAAGTCGCCGTTATACCCCCTTGCTTCTGGCTAGCCAAAGGTTATTAATATAATTGCTGAAAATGTATCTATATCTGGGATCAGCTAACTGGTAAAGGCTTCTTCTAACTGCTTGTTACAAAGGCAGCTCTTATTGGGATTTGTGTCAGTGACACTGATTGGAGGTTTGTGTCCGAGCAGCAAGTCAGAGCTTTTTTTTCCCCCCCCACGTAGATCCTGCTCTGAGCTGCAGCTGTAAGGTAGAAGTGTCAAGGAAAAAGCTGGTTATCACAGGCATTTATATAACCCTGACAATTTATGGAGCACTTTCCATATTTTACATTCACAGCAGTCCTTGCCCTCAAGGAGCTTACAATGTCAACCTAGGTCCCTTTGTCAAGTATATACATTAGAGCTGCAGCTAACGATTATTTTAAAAATCGATTAGTTAGCCGATTATTAAGTTCGATTAATCGGTTAATCGGATGAACTATAAAATAAAGTTTAAAAAATGGCTCCAGTGATAGGACTACTAGTTTGTATTGAGGTTGTAGTCCATCACAGGAGCAAGCTTGGAGCGGTGGAAGTAAAAAAGAAAAAAAGATAGTGTGGTGTGCAATATAGTGAAATGGAAAGTGTAAAATTATACAGCAATGCATGCAGAATGGCACCGGCAATAGAGGAATACAACAAATCCCAGCAATAGTACATAATAGTTGGTGGTATTCTGCATTGCGCTGTATAATGTATTATTGCTGGGACTTGTAGTCCTCTATACAGCGCAATGCAGAATATCACCAGCTATAGAGGAGTACAACAAATCCCAGCAATACATTATACATACAGCGTACAATGTATTGCTGGGATTTGTATTCCTCTATAGCTGATGGTACAGGTTCATGCTCTGTATAATATACAGTACAGCAGAATGTACCATCAGCTATAGAGGACGACAAATCCCAGCAATACATTATAGAGCACCATGTGGAGGGGGGAGGGGAGTGCAGGCTTACCTGAGCAGTCTTCCAGCAACGTACTTCTGAGATCGGACCTGTCTATCAGCAGCTGTCATCCCCCCACACCTGCTCCTCCTTACTACATCTCCCCGCGTCCCTGTGCCGATCATGGATGTGGATGGGCAGGAAATGTGAGGCGGGGAGGAGGTGCGGCGTGTGGAGCGTGGATGCGAGCGGGTCTGGCAGTGGCGAGCGTGAGGTGGGGAGGAGGTGCGGCGCACAGCGTGTGGAGCTGTGAACAGGGCCAACTGATC